TGATAATTTACTTTTTTTATATTGCTTAGGTGCAGTGAGGACGGAATGGTTATGGTATATGTGTATTACTAATACTGTATAATATACCTGTAATACTATAGCATACCGTAAATATAAAGAACCAAATTCTCTCAAGCCTTGCCTATGTGGTAGGATTATTTAATCTTAAACTTTATGATAGATTATTTATTATAAATCTATTTCAATGATTATGAAACAGATTTTTCCCGTTGCGAAGCAAACATTATTGAGAAGAACATAAATGTTAATTGTAAACAGTCAATGTGTAAATTATCCATGTTGTATTAAAAATATGTATAAGTTTTGGATGTTGGTTTGTGTTTCATGATATAAGTTATTAGTTATTGAATTTTTATTTTAAGGATTTGGCATATGAGTAAGCCTATGATGAATAAAACCATTTCTGCAGCTTTTGCCTAACTCTGTCCTGTAGAGTTTAAAGTAGCCTACACCTTTGTCTACCCAGATTCACTGACCTACGTCCAATTGAATCTGGGATTCCTCAAGGAAGTGTCCTCGGGCCGTTTTTGTATATTCTCTACACAGCAGACCTTCCAGAAAATGAGTTGGTAGAAATTGCTACATTTGCTGATGATACTGCAATTTTGTCTGTTCATCGTGATCCATTTCAAGCACAATAAACAACACCCAACTTCCCAGAGTAACTGAGGTTAAATACTTGGGTATCCATTTAGATAGGAAGTTAACTTGGAAAACACGCATTTGGAGAAAACGGCAACAACTAAATTTAAAATCTAATCAATTAAATTGGCTCATCGGAAGAAAATCAAAACTTAGTCTAGAAAATAAATTATTGCTATATAAAACTATATTGAAACCAATATGGACATATGGAGTGCAACTATGGGGCTCGGCGAGTACTTCTAATATAGAAATTATCCAAAGATACCAATCAACAATGATGAGGAAGATAACAAATGCACCATGGTATGTCAGCAATAGAACACTACATAAAGACCTTAAGATACCTACAGCATTGACTATAAGGTACATAAGTCAATGCCTACAGTTAAGGACGAAATCATGACCTTAAGTGAACGATATATTACGAAATTGGAATCTCATCAAAATCATTGAACTTTTTAAACAACATGGATAATTCTGGACCTGCCCTTCAGATTTTTGTAAAGTTTTTTTTTATTGAAAAATTTGTTGTTGACAGTGCTTAACAGCTATTTTTAATGTTCAAAATTTAATTTGTATTACATAGCATTTACTTATTGTTCAATATATTATAGAACAGATTGTAAAGTAAACAAAAAAAAAACCTTATTATGTCTACAAATTTGCTAAATAACGTAGGTACGGTACTTTATAAAAGCTGGCAGCCTTTTTACGTTGACTTAAATTGTAAGCTTACCTTTTCCCGTCCATGGGAAGTTTGATTGTTAAAAATTAACCCTAAACTAGAATATAGGACTGCTATGTAAATTGTGAGTATTTCCATTAGTTAATAATCTTTTAGTTGACTCTTTTAAAATCATCGGAAATTATGACTGTTATTAGTTTTAAACAAGTTATTTGTTTATAAATAACTCCTGTACTTCTTTGCAATTTATTATTCTTGCAATTTATTTATGCAACAAGTTATTTGTTTATAAATAACTCCTGTACTTCTTTGCAATTGCTCGATTTCGAGCAACATGTACACTATAGTGTATAATTTAAAAGCAGATGTTTACTTTCACCAACTGTTTTGTAGGTTTGAATAATTACAACATTCTGTATTAGCATTAGTCATGATTTGAAATAGTGTCACAGTGTTTCTACAGAGTGCAGCACAGAAAACTATTTTACTTTTGAATAAGTCCAAATGTATGCAACCCCAATCGCAGCACACCTGTGCACTCAACAACGTTTAAATTCTCCAATGTTAAATATTAAAAACATAAAAACCTTTATCAAAGTATTATAAACAATAAAAGGGATGACAATGCCTTAATATTTTTATCTTTCGTTCCATACCCACACAATCTAACATAAATTATTAAGTAAATATAATAATCGTGCGTGCTATCATAGACTGTGCTATCTCGGATATTCAAATGCCTCTCAATTTTTAATTAACCCACCACATTACTGTCATTAAAAGAATGAACTCCAAATAATACTAATTTAGTATTGCACTAATTACTAATTAAATGCAAAACTTAAATCCACCGAAGCTGTGCAACGTTACCAGACTAACGATTTATTTATTTATTTGTTAACGGATGCACCATTTTTACATGAAAAATACAATAATCTTACATACAGAAGCAGAAAAAAATCACGATTAAAAAATGACGTCAAAATTGATTAAAGCAAAAATTATCAGTGGTAGGTTTAAGGGAGAAATATTCTTAATCCCATGAATACTGATGATATCATCCGAATTACCCTATGAATTTAAGCTACTTACTACAATTTCCTTAGTGCCTTGCAAGGTCGAGTGAGTTTTTACCCAATTCATACTGAACCTAAAAAATATACGTATATATATGAATTTGAACGGATGGTGTTTTTGGCCACTGGGGACTTGAAAACGAAAAAGTAAATCGGTCCCGGGTTCAGGTCTTACCATGAGTACTACGGTAATAGCTTATCCCTTTATGGGAAATTCGCTAATACGTACCCCACTCTCTTCATTACTTCTCTTGGTTATTACTTGGGTAAAAATTCAGTTTCCCCGTGCGTTTTAGGTGAGTTGTGGAAACTGAACAATAACCATTACTTGTGATGGTTAGTCTATGCTATTGGTAAACTGAGTTGTATTAATGAATACAAATTCATTGGTTGTAGATTGTTTTATGGATATATTTTGTTAAAATTTTGCAAATTTTACATGTTAAGTTATAGCAGTTGGCAGAGCTGATCTCGCCGGCTGACGGAATGCTACCATTTTTTGTCTCAATCTCTTTTCTTTTTCTTTGCGCCTTTGTGCTTTGCTTTTCGACAGTGTTGCCAATTGCGGGGAAAATCCTCGTTTTTCGAGGATTTCCAGACCCTGCGAGGATTTATGCGAGGATTCAGATTTTGCGAGTATTTTCGAGGATTTTCAGGTAAAGCACCAAGGATTTTTCTGATAATCGAGTATTCTCAGTGCCTAGGTCTCTTTAAAAATATATTGAAAATCCCTCTGAATCTAAGCATTGAATGAACAGCGTCCGCAACTGAAAAAAGTCAATTATCAATGAATCAACCAATCAAGATCTAAGAACGAACAAGTAGATGAAGAAGAAGACAATGAAATGAGGGTGAACTTAGCGAAACGGCACACGGAAGATTTCTCAGGTGCCGTTTGACGTCACTAACTGCTGATGTCACTTTGAGGGAACACCAATACCGCAACGATACCGTATGAACCGTCGGCCTCGGTGGTGTAGTGGATAGCATGTCGGGCTGATAATCCGATTGTACCGGGTTCGAATCCCACTGGTTGCATTGACTTTTTGACAACAATTTTTTCATATCAGGAAGTTTGGTTAGTTTGGTTAGGCTATGACAGTTTAATTTTATAATTAAAAAATTATAAAATTCAATTTTAGGCATTTATAATTTCATTTTATGAACAAAACTATTTTTTAGATTAGTAAACCCTTATTCGATTTTTCCATTATCGGCACGTTTGGTTAGTTTGGTTAGGTTATGACAGTTTAATTTAATAATTGAAAAATTATAAAATTTTCTGTTTCTTCAGACGCAGCAGTTAGTGACGTCAGCAGTTAGTGACGTCAAACGGCACCTGAGAAATCTTCCGTGTGCCCCACCGGTGAACTTAGAACTAACTGCCGAACTGGAAACTGGACTGAAGTGAGGTGAATAGAAGTAATGCTATGCTCAGCTCCAGCTGTCGCTGTCAGCTCAGCTGAGCTGTGTGCTATAAGCCTGTAATTATGAAGTAAATGTGAATTCGAATTGAACTATTGAGGATATTACTGGGGCCGATATGTGTTTAACAATAAACTACCACACCTTTTTAGCATTTTCACCTGTACAGAAACTTGTTGTTTGTTGGTTGCCTTCAGTTCAAATTTCCTTTCACTTAGGCCTACGTAGTAGAACCTAACAAATTATGATTTATTACTCAGCTGTTCATGATGATTGGACTTTAAATCAATTATCCTGGCTGATGAAATATTAGTCAGTACAAAGTTACACAGATCATCTCACACCATTCTACACTCATCTTTCACTCAAATTTGGGTAAAAATACGTACCTAAATGGCGACCCCGTCTCAATAATTTAGAATTTGTTAATTTTCAAAGTTAATAACAAATATTATTATTATTATAAGTATTATGTAATGTATAATGTATTTTTTCAGGTACCGTATAAACACAGGGGTTTTTCTTATTTGTATAGTATTAAGACACGACCCGGCCACGGCCACCTATAATGCGTGATTACGAGCTTACCTAAATTATAATACAAAAAAAAGTTTATGATTTATTAAAGAATTTTGACGTCGACATCAGCACACCCACAAATTAACCAATATTAACTACTTTATTCAGATTTGACAAAAGGGTCAGGGCTCAGGGGCTCAGGGATGGAAAACATACTTTTACCATTGATTATAATACATGCGTTAAATCATAGATAGGCCTAAATATATTCCATTGTGTTGATTGGTCTATGGCTAGGCTAGACCAATATTCACTCATACTATTTACCAGAGCCCCTAATTTTTAAAGTACGATAGGTTAATGCATCTTTGTTTGGTTATTTGCACCTCTATTAAAAAAAGAATAGGTGGAAACGTATATTATCATGTAAATATGGGGAAATTTCAAATTATTTTAATCTTTAGATGCTATCGAGGATTTTGCGAGTAATTTTAGAATCCTTGCGAGGAAAATCGAGGATTTCCGTCGTTCCATGCGGGGAAAACCAAAGAGGTCGGTTGGCAACACTGCTTTTCGAAATCATTTTCTTCTTCTGCTTCTCTTCATCACAACACAATCGACATCTTTCTTTCACATCACAATATTATTTTGTTTAACCTGATAACCTCACCTTTCTGACATACGTTACTAAAACGTTGCCGGCTTCATTATATTGTGTCATTTTTGAATTGTTACCTTAAATTTCAACTGTGCAAAATGTCTTACAAAGTTCCGAAAGTGCAAAAGGTTATGGTACAACCAATAAACCTTATATTCAGATTCCTTCAAAACCGTTCGAGAGTTGAAGTGTGGCTCTACGAAAACGCACGAATGAAGATAGAAGGACACATTGTGGGTTTCGATGAGTACATGAATTTGGTTCTGGATGAAGCAGAGGAGGTTTATGAGAAAACTGGCAGAAGGAGGAAGCTTGGAAGAATCATGCTGAAAGGTGAAAACATTACGCTAATTCAGAATGTCCACCCTGAAGCAGTTTCACTGAATTAGTCTAACCCAGACCCAGGCTCTACACTAAACTTAACTATATTTTACTTGGACTTCAGGTGAACAGTTGAACTATCGAACTCTGTGTTTAGTGTTGGACAGTACATATTTGTATGTGTTGAATGTTAGATTAAAAGACGTTGAAGTCATTTTAAAGCTGTAGCAAAACAGGTAACAATTATAATGATGATTTGAATAGGCTAGCCTAGTGAATTTTTTTTGTGTGTAATTATTTTTACATCCCAGGCAGGCTCAACCCAACGGGCGAGCAGGGAGACTAGCTCGCTCATCATATCCCTAAGTTAACAGTTTCCTTAAAGGCTTTATGTTTTACGTTACTTAAGTAGGGTAACCTCAGAGCTAAGCCTACTGTACAGGCTCTAAGGCCTAGGCCTAACCAGAAATTACTTCACCATTCCAAGTTAGAACTAGGCCTAAATTATTCACAAAAATGTTATGTTAGGTTGACCTTAACTTAGTTTTTTTACAATAAAAATGATTAAGACTTAAATCTCTTGTGTTCCATTATCAATTTGTAAATCCCAAACACTGCTGCTTTTACTAGTTAACTTGTAACTTACTTATGTTAGGTTATTTCAAAGTTCATTTTGACAAACGGATTTTAAAGTAGCCTAAGTTAGTTAACTTGGCATTTTAAAATGTTAAGCTAATTAAACCGTTATGATATAGACCTAGCTCAAGCCTGGTCCATGACAGGCCTAGGCAGAGCCACAGGGATGAATTAGGCCTAGCCTTCCGTGACAAAACAAAGTCTGGGACAGTAGGTCACCTATTTTCACTTCCACACCCAGGGCCTTTAAAGAGGTTTGAATAAAATTCAAATTAAAATGTAATTTGACAATGCCTATTCCTATGTACAACTTGGTCAATGGCAATAAACTTTCTTATTCTTAACTTTCTTATTCTAATACAAAAATTGGCAGAGGATACTCGGTAACCGGACGTGGATTAGGCGTCCGGCAGTTTACTGCCATTTAAGTCACCTAATTAACTTAAATCAAACTTGCTGGATAATGAAAAAATCGAATGGAGGTTAAATTCTGTTCATAAGTTAAAATAAAATTATAAATGCCTCAAATTCTAACAAATTATGTAGAGTTAAGAAGAAATGGCATTCTAAGCAAAATCTTTGAAAAAGAGTTAGTGCCACCGAGGGGATTCAATCTAGATAGGCTACCTCTTATACATCAGCCGAGTTCTCTATCCATTACACCACGAACACCGATGGCTGTACTTCGTATCTTGTGATAAAGGTGTTCCGGGCCCCCACAACCCGGTGACGTCACTGCTGGACGCCTAATCCTGGTTACCGGACGCGTATCGTCTGCGAAAAAATTATAATGTCTCTGGACTATGTTTTTTTGGTAGGGCCCTACTTTAGTTTTATATACGCCACCCTTACCGCGCGCTGCAGCGGTTATGTTTGGTTGGGTTATAATTTAAAAAAAATTACAAAATATAAATATGTTTGTTGAACTTTTCTTGAGAAATTCTAAGCAAAACAAGCATTTCAAAGTGAATATAAAACATCTGATTTAAAAGGTTTGTATTAACAGGCCATATAAAATAAATTTAACATATTTAGGCCTATATACATTAAAGACTAAAAAGTAGAAAGTAATTTATAAATAAAAATACTTTTTAAAAATGCCACGTTTTTAAAGGCACTAAAAGTAGAATATAATTTATAAAGATGTTAGACCTAGAATTATTTTGTAAGATTTAAAACAAAAAACGTGGGGCGCATGCAATAGATCATAGTTCAATAGGTGAAGTTAATTGTAAATTAGCATGCGCCCCACGTTTTTTTTTTAAATCTTAGAATGTATTTATTCTCTCAACATATTTATGAATTATTTTCTACTTTTTAGTGCGTTTAAAAACGTGGCATTTTAAAAAAGTATTTTTATTTATAAATTATTAAGTTATTAGGTTACTGACCAGCAGAAATAATTCCCATGTTAAGATAATATTTATGGAGAAAATTAGTACAAACTGTTGTAGTTTGCTTGTTTATGGATATAGGCTATTTTGATGAAACTTGGCAAATTAATTTCTTTCTTTTAAGGTAGGCCTAACTTACCTATTGAAATTTTACTAAAAGAACACACTTTATTACTGTAGCAGCAAACCTAAGTAGGCCTACTCGTTAAATCTTTATAATATTTAAATAGGGAATAGGTCTAAATCTTACATGTTAGGTTTAAAAGAAAAAGTGAAAATCCAATCCTAGGGCAGGCAAATGGAAATTCGCTTAATCTGCAGGTCTGCTGCTGCGCGGTAATTGTTTTATAGCTTTTTTTATAAGATCAGCTAACTTAGGCGTTTTATCTATGCTTAGGCCTTTAACCAGGACCATTTAGCCCATTGATTAAGGTCATCTGAGGGTAGGCTACAAATTTTAGACACAATAAACTTAGAACTGACTTTTTTAGTCGCACTAGAAAACTTGGGGATTTTTCCTAAGCACTCGGATACACAGTTTCTTTGTTTTCCTTTAAAACTGCAGACTGAAAAAGGGCCAGGGCCAATCTTCCTGAAACATAAAATCTAAATAGGGTCAATCGGGGCTAATATGAACACACCAAAATATTGGGGCTAATATGAACAATGGCTTAAAAAGTCATTTATCTGGGATTTTTAATCATGAAAAAAATATAATTAGAAAGGAAATTTATCGTATTTTTTGTGTCCATAATGAGAAAACTTCAAATTTGACTTTTAGGTACTTTAAAAAAATACTTTGTTAAAACACTTTTTCTCCGCCCAAAAAACTTTTCCCCGCAAAGTGAAAACTTTTGTTATAACAATTTTTACATTGGTTGTAGGAATAATCTTAAGCCTGAATTTTGTTAAATAAGAATTGGGGATTATTTTCCTTTTCCCAAAGTTAAAATATATTAATAACAGCCAAAGTTATAAGCTTTCAAAGTTGGGGGGCTAATGTGAACAGTGAATGGGGGCTATTGTGAACAGTGACATGGGGCTATTATGAACAACAATATACATACAATATACATACAATAGACATAAGTATGTCTTCGACAAAATTGTCGAAGTTTTTGAGGTGTAAGTTCTTCAATAAACTTCTTTGAAGGCCTTACAGTGATAAAACAGTTTTAAAACAAAGACAACAGTTAAGGTGTTGAATACCGGTAGGCCTAGTCCACATTTTTATATTTACCTAATAGGCCTAAAAGTGCAATAAACTGTCATTTGCCTAAACGAACAATTTGCATTGTCTTAAATTATTGTTTTTTTAAGTGCTTTAAACAATTTGTATGTGGAAGAAATTTTTAATAAATACTCAGGTATGTTGACAGATAATTTTTTTCTTGTTTATATCTTATTATTAGCCCTGTATAATATTTATAAATGGTTTTAAAAAAAAGGGTTACCGTAGGGCGACCCGCGGCTCTCCAAAGATACCTTCATATCTCAAAAACTATTTAAGATAAAATATTGAGACTTATTGCAACTGGTAGACTAGACCCTAGGCTTGTTCACAACAGCCCCCACATATGCCTAGTGTTGTAAATAACAGAGTTATTAAGAGTGTTCACATTAGCCCCATGGGCTGTTCACATTAGCCCCTTTTAGCGGGGCTAATGTGAACAGTGGTTTTTAATTTTTTTTTAAATAATGGTTACATTTATGGTTTTTGTTAGTAAATAAATAGATTCAGCTAAAAGAGCTGTATACACTACTATTTTTTCTTTTCTTCTGTCATTTACCATTTTTGAGTTAATGTCAAAAGTTTACTTTTTTTGTTCATATTAGCCCCGGTTGACCCTATCTAAAAAAAAGTGTCCTATAGGTTCCTATAGGACATTAATGTCATTAGGCCTAATTAACAACAAACAGACAAAAGTTAACACAGTAGACCTAGCATTTACCTGCAGGTCTGTCCTGTATTTCCAGAGCTGCTGACAGAAACGTGCAAGCGTTGAGGACAGACAGGGTTGATGTCACATGGTCTTCACAAGTAGCTCTTAGCTCTTCTACGCCTAGCTCTTGGGCTAGTGTGAGCATCTCAAACACTCCACTGTCTTGCAGCATTATCTGCCAATATACAAAAGGTGTTTATACTATTTAAGTTTAGCCTACCTGAAGAAATGAGACTAGCTTTATCAAATTGAATGTTAAAACCAACTCAACTTAACTTTAGTGGCTACCTGAAGAAATGAGACTAACTTTATCAAATTGAATGTTAAAACCAACTCAACTTAACTTTAGTGGGCAGAGGATCAAAGCCTTACCTTTAATAGACAATTGATTGCTGTTTTGGCCCTACCAAACCATTGAGTGCTACCATTAACTATGGTGCTACAGACCACTTTGACCCTCTGGTTTTTTATTTATTATTTTATTTTTATTTTATTAGTAGGCTGTTTTGTATTATTTTGTATGCAGAACCTCTTAAGTAATATCTGATCTTTCAATTATGAATATTATCTAGTTTTATTCTCATGTGAATCTCCCAAAAAATGTATTCCTTTTTTATCATACCTTCAAGGTTTCTTAATACGACTCCAACCAGAAGGAAAAATTGAGAATCAAAGATGTTATGTTATTATACCAGACTAGATGTAGTTTAAACAATAAGGGATAAAAAATAATACACTTGAAGTTTCAAATTTGTCTAGCCTAAGATTAATCTACATTTATTGGTTAAGACAACCAAATTGCTAAAAAACAGACATCGAAACTTTGTTGCTGCTCTGTGTTGTAACCAATGTGACGCCTAATAATTTAAACTAGTGTCCCTGTTGCTCGAATTCGAGCAATTTCTAAGTATTAGAGGCGTTATTTTAAAAGGAATAACGTTCATAATTTGTGATGACTTTAAAATATTCGACCCAAAGATTATGGAAATATTCAAGCTGTACATAACAGAATATATTAATTTATCCAGGCTCTCTCGCTTTTTTCCATTGTAATATTTACGCCAACCCGAATTCAAATAGTAAATGTTTCATTTCAACCAAGTGAGTAAATGTTTGTAGCAAACTAAATGTAAAAGAAGCAAACTTATTGACTGGTTAAAATTAACGTATGTTCTTCTTCTCACTTAATTTCTGACAACAGCTGGAGTTGCATAACAATTTTTGTTTCCCATGTTAATCTTATGGAGGAATACGAAACTTTAAAGGGCCCCAGGGCCTCACTCTCTTATTATTTCCCTAAAAAGAAAGTTTCCTGCACAACTTCACGTTACGCTCTTTCCAATGACACCAAAAACATGTAAATCGGTTCAGTAGTTTCTGAGGAGTAATTGTCACAAAAAACATGCTTGCGTATTAAATAAGTACGAGAGTACGCCCCGTGGTCGAAAAATCGACCAAAAGTATGTTTTGTGCAAACTTCTCTATTTTCACCCCACACTGTAAATAAAACATGTGATTGAAATGTCTTCCATTTGTTTTGATTTTCTGTTTATATTTTGTTGTTATTTTGTCATCACCATAGCAACCCATATGACCCATGTTAATTTTTTAAAATTTCAAATTCATTTTTTGTGCTTATTTTTGAGCCTATTTTAATTTATAAAGGGATTCTGCACACCTACAGGAAAATAGCTTTCTAACGGTATGCGTAGATTTTCCCTACGATACACACGAGCTGAGAAAAAAGGTTTTAAAGAAACATGCTTGCCTATTAATATATAGACGAGAGGTCGTCCAGTGGTCGAAACTCGACCAAAAATATGTAATGTACTCACTTCTCTATTTTCACCACACACTGTAAATAAAACATGTGATTGGAGTTTCTTCCATTTGTTTTGATTTTCTGTTTATATTTCGTTGTTATTTCGTCACCAGCATGGCAACGCATAAGATCCATGTTAATTTTTTCAAATTTTTTAATTCATTTTTTGTGCTTATCTTTGAGCCTATTTAAATTTATAAAGGGATTCTGCACACCTACAGGAAAATTGCTTTCTAACGGTATGCGCAGATTTACCCCACGATGCACACAAGCTGAGAAAAAAGGTTTTAAAGAAACATGCTTGCCTATTAATATATAGATAGATAGATAGATTATAGTTTTTGGCACAACAAGTATTTTTTTGATTTGAAAGAAGTTCTATCCTTGTTTCTCAAATCAAATATAATTCTTTTGTGGAATACATAAATCTTTATTGCCTTATGAACCTTTTTAAATGAACTAGAGTCTCAACCATCCAAATGTTAGCCTATTCCACCTAGGTTATCTGCTCCTTCCTGCTGGTAATCAAGTGGGTGGGTTAATCGTTTGCCACTTATGTTGGAATGATTTAGTTGGTAGAGAAAACCCCATTTAGGCCCTGGAATGTATTCAGAAGATAGGTGTCAGGCTTTAGGCACCTGGACATAGTTGTACTTCTGATGGTGAGTTCATAAACTACTCATACTTGTGCATATTTCCTGCTACCTACATCTATTGTCTAGGGTACAAACACACAGAACGTGCCACGTCAACAAGAGGTATCCCACGCACGCAGAATGGCACCTCTTCTCTCGCATTCCGTCAGTAGTCAAAATAGTGTGGTAGCACCATTCTATATTTATCACTCATTGTGGCATGGAAAGTGTGGCCTCAACTGTCAACGGTGTCATCAACCTGTGTGACGTGTAGACCGCCGAACCGAGAGACCTGGGGTGATCAGTCGAGTTAAAAGAGTCTGTGAGTCGCGGTCTGGTCTACACTATCCTTCCCTCCCCCGCGGTTGTCCACGGCATGGGGTGGACATGTTTCCGTTGAAAATCTTTTTTATATGTATTAACAATTAAATTGATAGTAACTCATTTCAAATTAGTTGCCGTCCTTCCCATGCATGCTCGTCACATATATTTACACGTTTGTTAATACTTTTATTACCATGGTAATTAGGCGGCCGGTGTGATTACATCGATGCAGTGCCCTTGTATTACAGGAGGCCACAAATTATCACATTTCCTTCACATCAGATGTACAGTAACAACCATCAATTTAAGGAACAAGCATCAGAGATGGTTTGGCTATGGGAAACTTACTTTCAGTAATTTTATCAGAAATATTATTACATCATATAAAAAAGAAATACTTTGCTCTATTTTATTTTGTTTGGTTGAAAATCAGCAAGATTGCTTTTAATAGTTATGCTGAAATTAACAAATACATAAGTACTAATGATTTCATTACTAAACAGCACTTGCTCAAATATTCAGTCTCAGAATGATTGATTGTTACTGATGTAATTAGTTTATCCATGTAGCTTCAACAAGGGGTAAGTTACCATGGCAACAATACAACAATGCTCTTGTTGCTTGGCAACCATAGGGTAATACAACCAAAGTCCAAGAGTAAACTACAAATACTTTAAGTGAACCGACATATTTTGAGAAGAACAGTTATACATTTTAGTAATAAAATTTGTTGCTTTATTTACCAAATACATTAAAATGGAAGTAGTTGTAAGATCAGACATCCAGCCTGGAGTTATAGACATGAACATCATTCAAGAGGCAGTTAAAGAGCAAGGACCTAAAGGTGAAGCAGGAAAACTGATTGAAGAAGAGGGGTATGACCTCAAAGAAATTGGCTACTTGAGACTGGAGTTTCTGAGTAAGCATTAACTTTAATCATGTATATGTAAAGTGAAGCCTTGTGATTTGAGTCCTCTCAATTTTGAATGCAGTAATATATTAAAAAGCATTCAAAGCGTTTGTACTGATAAAATATGATTGGTGTGGTCATACCAACACTAAACAGGTAGAAGTTAGAACTATGTTGTTATACTCAAAACTTCACCTAATGCATATATTAGTCCTTATCTTATATAACATTTTCTTTCAATTTAAAGAGATTATTAGACTTGAGGATAGCCACTCGTGAGATAATTTTCTGTCCGCCAAGCCTATCCGTAACGGCCAAGTTTTTAAAGTATAAATTCTGTAAATATTGTATAGGGTGATTTTTTTGGTGCGGTTTTTAAAACTAAATAAAAAATTAAAAACAACCAGCATTGACATAAAAATGCATTTATTTGAACTACAGTGTTATGACATTAACGTTTAAAAATGATTTCTGGCATATGGGCTCCATTCCGTTCGCGTAGAAAGCCCAATCGAGAAGTCCAATTTTCGAATACTCTTTCCAGCAGCTGTGGTTGAATTCCGCCAATAACTTGACAAATGTTAGCTTCCAAGTCATTTAAAGTTTCAACGCTATCAGGCAATATTACGGGACTTTTTCGTTCCTCAGCTAAACGAACTTGAAGTGGATTTAGAAAATGTCTGGTTCCAACAAGACGGCACGACGTGCCACACGGCAAACGACACAATTGGCCTCTTGGCAGAAACATTTGGTGAACGTATCATCTCATTTAGGGGTAGTGTCAACTGGCCCCCACGGTCGTGTGATATCACGCCAACAGACTTCTTTCTGTGGGGATATGTTAAGTCTCAAGTATACGCTGATAAGCCACAAACTTAAAAATGACTTGGAAGCTAACATTCGTCAAGTTATTGGCGGAATTCAACCACAGTTGCTGGAAAGAGTATTCGAAAATTGGACTTCTCGATTGGGCTTTCTACGCGAACGGAATGGAGCCCATATGCCAGAAATCATTTTTAAACGTTAATGTCATGACACTGTAGTTCAAATAAATGCATTTGTATGTCAATGCAGGTTGTTTTTTATTTTTTCGTTTAGTTTTAAAAACCGCACCAATAAAAAAATCACCCTTTATATAGTTCATTTTATATACAAAAATTCTAAAGACAATTTCCATTGTCACGTTGAAACTTCAATATCAATCCTAAGAAATCATTTATACTCTAAATTATTGTACAGTTTTATTTAGTTAATTTTTTTTCGGTTTAGTTATTATTGTTTGTTATATCCTTTGTGTTCAGCAGCTTGCTTGATAGAAGAAGAAGGATATAATTTATTTTATATAATAAATTATTTCTTTCTTAAGTTTATGACACAATCTATCGGACTCAGGCAAAAATGTAGAATTCAAGTAAAGAAAGTAAGTTAAGTCTAATATAACATGAATGTTTTTAAAATATAAGTGGTAAAATACTAAAGACTTCTACAGTTTACATCTTAAATCTACACAAAGTTGCAATGTGTGTTGATACGGTGTAGTATCACACTAGAAAGTAACTATAGGCCAAGTATCATTGAGGATGCACCAAGTGATATAGTCATAGTCAATAGTCTTTATTCAGACGTATACATGGATAGCTTCAAAAAAGGAGGATTACCACTTAAAGAAAAAAGATCGATGTTTTCAAAAACACTATTGTTATAGCATAAAACACACATAGGCTAGTTAAATGTTCAATGTACGAGCAATGTGATACAATATCAACAGCTAGATGTGATAGATAAAGTAAATATAAAAATTCAGAGGATATATACTCGTTCTGAAAATTACATACGGTAGCACTTTTAAAGGGTAAAGTCAATCTAAGGAGCTAAAGGGTCAGTATAAGGGCTATAGCCACCCCCCCCCCCATTAGACCCTTAAATAAACTTAAATTTAAACATAGATTTTGTCGCAATACGTAATGGAGGTTTTTATGGACACAGTACTACCGTTAAAAAAGACTTTAAAAGTCACCAAGCGGCTTTCAAAATATTGAATCTTCTGTGGGAGGACCCCCTTCTGTTGTAGAACATCCCTTTTAGCCCCCCCCCCCCCCAACAACGTCCTAGAACCGTATTCATTTGTTCCTGCAACCATTTTGTAATAAGACTAAAAATACCATCTTATGTAATCAATATTATCACAAATACTTTATGTCCATTTTAGATATTTTGCGCATTGACCACCTTTGGATGATGACGGGCCTTACCAAGCTACAACTGGGTAACAATATAATTGAGAAAATTGAGAATTTGGAAACACTGGTAAATTTAAGAGAGCTGGACCTGTCTTTCAACCGGATAAAGGTTATAGAGAACCTAGAGGTGGGTTTGATCACCTGTAATTTGATGTGAAGTCTGGATATAATGTTGGTTTGTTTATCATAAAAGTATAGTTAGTAGGTGGCAATCCACTATATCACAGAATGCAATCTGAAATCTGAAATTTAGCCATATGTTAAGTTTATGTGGTGGAAGTATGAGGAACAGGCTTTTTTTAAACAAAACAATGACGGTAAAACCTGAAAGACTACCGCTGGGCCAAGCGGCAAGAGTTTGAAGAGTGTGAATCTTAAGTCCAATGCTGGACCCATGCTGTGTCATTAATTCGACAAGCGAAGAAAATGGATTGCTAATAAACAGAGGTGCCCATCCCCCCCAAACCCAGAGGCGCAACCCCCCCCCCCCAAGCCAAAGGAGTATTCCCCCCCCCAATTTATGCTGCCGTCTATTTAAACCTACCCTCCACCTGCCAATGTATCTGGCAATTTCCCTTTACCTCATAAAAAGAGCATTTCAAGTATTTAGTAAACTTGAGGTAAAGAAAAACAAACTTGCTGATAATCAATATTAAATGTTTAATTGGAAACGTCATTTAACAATACATCATTATATCTAACTAACGGACAAATTCGAAGTTTTTCAATTTACAATTCAGATACTGTATTGTCAACCAACATGTGCTCAACATACTCGGTGAATTACTCTACTCCAACACAGTATTGTAACTGTACAATATATTAGGTGGCGTTAATTTTTACAGGGCTTAAGAATTCAAACAGCTTTAAGAGCATTAATAATACTTTGACAAAAAGTATCTGGTTTCAAAATTATAGGCAGAGAGTCACGAAATAGGGCAGACTTGTTGCTCGCCACTCCCACCCAGGCTGCCTTCTACAAAAATCGCCGGGCAAAATACACAAAATACCTTAATTGCCACTAGCACAAAAGGTTTTTGTGACGAAGTAATCTTATAATTCATTTTGATAGCCCCAGGATTGCCTTTTATGACTAATAGTGATAGAAACGCATCTTGTCATACAATCCTTAATAATATATGTACGGTAGTGTCGTATTTTACTTACATATGTTTTGCTACATATGTTTTGGCGGTTCTTTAACATATTTAGACTTCCATATGTAACTTACACCATCGTCAGACTTACAAAAGGATCGACTTCTGTAGGTGTCGTCAGAATATGTTACAAACATTTAACACAAAACACAAAACTATTACAGATAGGCCTATCAATTCATGCGTGGACATTGCTGCGGGCAAGACTGGAAGTAAACTGAATCAGGTTATGACAGACCGACGTGGTCTCTGGATTGTCGTCTGCGTTTTCAACAGATTTTAGGACTAATTGTAGTGACAGAGGAGAGTGTTGAAAATATTATGGGATTCATAATTGAGTTTTCCATTCAAAACTATTGACAATAATAACCAATTTTTATGCTGGTTATAAATGATGGTCTCGAAATTCTACATTACTGCGTGATAAGAAATGTATTAAATACTTTGGAAGAGTTTGGAATACCGGTATCGGCCTATAAATAAATAAAACTAGGGACAGCACACAATTTTTGAGTGAAAACACTCAATATGAATCCCATTATATTTTCAACACTCTTCTCAGTCACTACAACAATAGTCCAATATCAGCTGTTGAAAACGCACAAAACAGACGACAATCCAGAGACCACGTCGGTCCGTCATAACCTGAACTGATTCAGTTTACTTCCAGTCCTGCCCGTGCCAATGTACTGACTCTTGTGCATTGATAGGCATATCTGTAATCGTTTTGTGTTTATATTAAGGATTGTCTGATAAGGTGCGTTTTACCATTCTTAGAAGCAATCTTAATTACGAATGGCAGAATGTTGTTGGTGTTGATTGTTGAGCTAACTTAGAAAAAGTTTTTCAGTCTGTTTATACTAAATTCTACATTCATTATGACAGCTAACAAAAAAATATCCCCCCCCCCAAAATCTCCCTAAAGAAGTTCCCCCCCCCCAAAATTCCTGTGGCGCAAACGCGCCACGGTCCCCCCCTCTGGGCACCCCTGCTAATAAAGAAGAAGTTGTGAATGTTGGTTTCAATGTGCAATCAAATGCTATCCCAAACTGCATCATTTGCTACTTTGATTTATTCTAGATCCTTGCTAAGTAAGAGTTTTCTGAGGTAAAAGGGGCTTTAATGGAGGAAAAGATTAATAATTAATTGTTGTCAAAGGGATAAACATATACACATATATTGTGTTAAAGATAAAGATAAGAAACAAAAATCCCTTTAAAATAAAAATATTCTTTCTGCAAGGAAAATCATTGTGTCAAGCAATTAATATGGTAGTTTTTTTTTTACTTTCTCCCCTTATAAATAGTATATGGACAAATTATTGTTTTTGTCAACATTTTCAAGTTTGAGATTTGAGTGGATATATCCGTTATGGGTCCCACTGAATCCAAAAAAGTGGTTTTCACAGTGATTTATGTGTACAGAGCTACAGACCACACCTGTAGTCCGATTTTGATTAAATTTGGTATGTAGGTACTATATTAATCTATGGTATCTCCAGGGGCCCATTTCATAATAAACTACAAGTTACAAGTTACAACTTGTAACTTGTAATTTCCATTAGATTTGCATTGGGCGATCTACTAATAGCTGATTTACTAACAGGGGTGCCCAGAGGGGGGGACCGTGGCGCGTTTGCGCCACAGGAATTTTGGGGGGGGAACTTCTTTAGGGAGATTTTGGGGGGGGGATATTTTTTTGTTAGCTGTCATAATGAATGTAGAATTTAGTATAAACAGACTGAAAAACTTTTTCTAAGTTAGCTCAACAATCAACACCAACAACATTCTGCCATTCGTAATTAAGATTGCTTCTAAGAATGGTAAAACGCACCTTATCAGACAATCCTTAATATAAACACAAAACGATTACAGATATGCCTATCAATGCACAAGAGTCAGTACATTGGCACGGGCAGGACTGGAAGTAAACTGAATCAGTTCAGGTTATGACGGACCGACGTGGTCTCTGGATTGTCGTCTGTTTTGTGCGTTTTCAACAGCTGATATTGGACTATTGTTGTAGTCACTGAGAAGAGTGTTGAAAATATAATGGGATTCATATTGAGTGTTTTCACTCAAAAATTGTGTGCTGTCCCTAGTTTTATTTATTTATAGGCCGATACCGGTATTCCAAACTCTTCCAAAGTATTTAATACATTTCTTATCACGCAGTAATGTAGAATTTCGAGACCATCATTTATAACCAGCATAAAAATTGGTTATTATTGTCAATAGTTTTGAATGGAAAACTCAATTATGAATCCCATAATATTTTCAACACTCTCCTCTGTCACTACAATTAGTCCTAAAATCTGTTGAAAACGCAGACGACAATCCAGAGACCACGTCGGTCTGTCATAACCTGATTCAGTTTACTTCCAGTCTTGCCCGCAGCAATGTCCACGCATGAATTGATAGGCCTATCTGTAATAGTTTTGTGTTTTGTGTTAAATGTTTGTAACATATTCTGACGACACCTACAGAAGTCGATCCTTTTGTAAGTCTGACGATGGTGTAAGTTACATATGGAAGTCTAAATATGTTAAAGAACCGCCAAAACATATGTAGCAAAACATATGTAAGTAAAATACGACACTACCGTACATATATTATTAAGGATTGTATGACAAGATGCGTTTCTATCACTATTAGTCATAAAAGGCAATCCTGGGGCTATCAAAATGAATTATAAGATTACTTCGTCACAAAAACCTTTTGTGCTAGTGGCAATTAAGGTATTTTGTGTATTTTGCCCGGCGATTTTTGTAGAAGGCAGCCTGGGTGGGAGTGGCGAGCAACAAGTCTGCCCTATTTCGTGACTCTCTGCCTATAATTTTGAAACCAGATACTTTTTGTCAAAGTATTATTAATGCTCTTAAAGCTGTTTGAATTCTTAAGCCCTGTAAAAATTAACGCCACCTAATATATTGTACAGTTACAATACTGTGTTGGAGTAGAGTAATTCAATTCACCGAGTATGTTGAGCACATGTTGGTTGACAATACAGTATCTGAATTGTAAATTGAAAAACTTCGAATTTGTCCGTTAGTTAGATATAATGATGTATTGTTAAATGACGTTTCCAATTAAACATTTAATATTGATTATCAGCAAGTTTGTTTTTCTTTACCTCAAGTTTACTAAATACTTGAAATGCTCTTTTTATGAGGTAAAGGGAAATTGCCAGATACATTGGCAGGTGGAGGGTAGGTTTAAATAGACGGCAGCATAAATTGGGGGGGGGAATACTCCTTTGGCTTGGGGGGGGGGGTTGCGCCTCTGGGTTTGGGGGGGATGGGCACCTCTGTTTACTAATAATATTAGTTTGTACTTTATTATGAAATGGGCCCCAGGTGTTTTCAAAATTTTTGATTTCATAATGGTGATTTTCCCATAGAAATCAATAAACAACCGGAAAAAAAAATTTTCACGAATGGCCCGATTGGTTTTGATAAAATTTTAGTACGTTATACCCTAGTTCTGAACAAGTTGGTACAAATCCCATTTTTATAAAAATTACGGTTCAAAATGTATTGTTACATGTTATTTTCCCATAAAAACCCCATAAATAAAAAAGAAAAAAATCAGATTTCATGAAAGATGCTGGTTTTGATTAAAATTAATGTGCGATGGTCCTTATAATTCTAAACAAAATAGTGCAACCCCCATTGCTTTAACAATATTGATGCTTAGCAGTCCCAGATTAGCTGTATTTTTAAAAAGAGCTTTCAAAACAAGAGAACAATGTCATCACTGTATGAGGATGTCTATAAACAAAAACTACTGTCCACTGCTCAGTTATTACTAAAAAAAAGGCATCAACTGAGTTCTATATTAATTATTGCAACAATCAATATTAATACTTTACTTTGAAATGGCGACCATACGAAAGTAGGTATTTTAAGCCAAGTATGAATTGAGATGAGTGTAGGATGAGTGGCGCAATCTTGTAGACTTGTTAGTGACTGGCCGACATATTTCTTAGCTGTTAATTAATAGCCCATTCAGCCAATGGCAACTAAGAAACTTACAGTTTATAGTGGAATCCGAACCACAGTTTTGCCTTGTAATTAACATTGTAATTTGCATTAATATTCAACAGTCTAAGAATATAACAGAGTAACAGCTATTGGAACTAGCATTGCCTATAGTCAATGGAACTATAGGCAAGCTGCGGAATAAACACAGCAACATACTCTCTGAAGCCCTCATGAGCGCAGGGATTGCCTGCCATGTTCAACATAAGTATGTATGGTTTTTTTGGCCCACCCATTTATTTAAAATAAAGCTACCTATGTTTTACATTTGAAATTTCACTTTATTTATAGAATTGAATGCATCTTTGTTTCAGAATCTGGGGAAAGTTGAAACTCTAACATTGTTTCAGAACTGCATTAAAAAAGTTGAAAATTTGGATTGCTTGAAAAAATTGGAAATATTCAGTATTGGAAATAACGATATTGAAGATGAGAGATGTGTAAGGTTATTCCAAATAATTAATTAATACATGTACTTTTTAAAGAGATTAAAAAAAAAAATAATTTAGTTCATCAAAGTACTTTTGTATGGTTATTGGTACCGTAATGGAGAAATATAAAAAAATTGTAAATTTAAAATTTCCATGTTATTCTTATGTAGAATATTGTAAAATGTTCTAGTTTGCTTTGTAATGAATATATTTTGATTAAACTTGGCAAATTTATTTATCTTATACTAAACTATAAACATATATGAAACACACTTTATCAGTTTCCTTGTAGCAGCAAACCTCGGTACTCGTTGAACCTACTGTTATTTAAATTTAGGCCTAATTGAAAATCAATTCACACAAATGGAAATTCGCTTAGTCAGCAGGTTTGCTGGGGCGGGGGTATTAAGTTCTATAAATTGTCCGCAAAATCATCGTTTTTGGTTAACTTCAAATAGGGAACAGAACCTATGGTCATTTTTTTGGTTCGCTAACCTCAAACTTTGTTTGATGTATATTATAAAACCGCTGCTAATTACACAACATTTGAAGTTATGTTTGTAAACAACAGAAATGTAAACATTGATGACGACTTGTTCAAATGATGTGGTCTAAATTTGTTATGATTAGAAGGTTATAACCACAGTATGATGAAAATAGTTGTTCATCACATGGAGCAAAAGTGTCTTTTTGGTACTTAATTGTATTTCCAAGCTCGGCTGGACCTCACCAAAAGAGCCACTCTCGTCCTAGTGATGAAAACTAATATTACAGGTTTACCCAAAAGAGAAGTATAGTCCTGGATAAAAATGTATGCTAATCAAAAGAAAATTAATTCATGTAAATAAACTCACAGATGATGTGGATTGTGATCTTTTGACTTTAGATTTAATATGAAGTTTAAATGGTTATTGAATTTGCATCCATCCATGTGGTCACTGGGCAATTCATACATGTTTCTGGACAAAGACTCAGTTAATAACAATTAATAATATTCATTCTGATAACCCTGGGACTACGTATTTATGACTTTAAGTAAATACTGTAAGCCTAAAAAAGTCATATTAACAATTAACAAGATGAGCACTTTATCCACCACCTGTTACCAAAAGTAAATAGAGATCAGAATTTGAATACTGTAATAGTATATTTCGTACCTAGGGCCGAAAATGAGGTTTTGCCGGCTCAAGATAGTTTCGAAACGATGTCGAGAACTTAAAACGATCGAGAGCTGCAAAACCATTTCGGTCCATGGTACAAATGCTATTTTTCACCACACTATACCCTATTACCACTATTCACCTCAATAATAATGCACACTGATAGTCAACACAACTACAACTTTAAGGTTATGTGAAGAAATAATTTGAGGTATCAGCAAAAATAATAGTAAATAGTTGCTAGGCAACGGTAACAATAAAACAATTCTATTGCAATGCTATGGATACTGATTGTGTATTTAATATGCCTTCATGTTTTAAGTAAGTAGCGGGCAGCTGATTTTGTGTCCCTAGGGATGTAAAAACCCGCTCGGTCCCCAAATAACGATGACAGCTGGCATGGCCAGCAAAAGGTAACTTTCAGCCACCAATTAACGTATGTAAAACAGCTAAAACATTGTGTGGTGAAAAATATTTTCTAAAATGGTTTAAAGTTCCCTTGTTCTGTCAAATGACCCTTTTTGTTAGTAGCTCAAATACTATAGACTGCTAGAGTCCAACATATATCAGTAGTGACATAAACATCTGGTCGGCCATCCATGCTGTTGTCTAGATCTGTTTAACCATTGAAACACAAACATACAATCATAGATAAAACAACAAAGACATGACAAAAATACAGTGAACAAATATGACATTAAAATTTGACAAAAGCTGGCCAGTTACCTGTATTACGGGAGACATCCAGCTTATGAAGATTTATTTGTTCATTTTTTAAAACGTATGTCTTTCATATACACACCATCTGGCGTCTGGTTGTCTGTCATATGATTGGTCATATGTAGTCATATAAGTTGTTTCAACAGATCTTGAACAACAGTTTGACAGAAGTTGTTGCCAACTTGTATTGATGACTTGATTGACTTGTTTTTGTCACTCATGATAATGGACTCCAGCTTTGTGAAACTGTCTGGCATAAATACACACAAAAAAAAGGATCTTTTGACAGAGTTAGGTAACTTAATAAACTATTTCAGCTTACATTCAGTTGTCTAGAGGCTGTTACACCATTAAAATAAAATATTTCTAAGCTAATGTAAAAATTTAACCACATTGAACACCAAAGGCTATTTTTCAACAAATTATCGTTGCATTCAATCTTATTCACAATACCTTCTACGTTGAAAAATTGATTCTAAACCTTCATGATTATTATTTTGACTGTCAATTTACCTCTTAAAATATTTAGGCCATAATCCTAAGAAATGAGGTAATAGGTACCAGAAACGTTAATTGTTTATATCATAAATGTAGTCGCACATTATAAATCAGTCAGTCGTCACTCGTCAGCATTTATTGTGTGCATTATAAAGAATCTTGTAGTAAGAATTGTAGAAGATGCATTCAGCCAGATGTAACTTTGTTTTGTCATACTTCAGGTTCTTTACCTGCGAAATTTCAAGAACCTGAAATCGTTGAACATGGCAGGCAATCCCTGCGCTCATGAGGGCTTCAGAGAGTATGTTGCTGCGTTTATTCCGCAGCTTGTCTATTACGAGTACCGACTACTCACTGAGAAAGAAATACAACTTGCTCGCAGCAAATACTTGTGAGTTCAAGTTGACATTTTCACTAAATTAGTATTTTGAGTAGTGTTTTGCAAAAACGTTTCGTTTCCCCTTTCAAAGTCGTATGTGTCATTAAAGTGGTTTCTTGGACGGTATTTTCAGTGTTTTTTTTTACCTTATCGAAGCAGTTCTAGTAACTAAGCCTTCACTAACTTATAATCTACGGAATTTTGTATGACAATATCCTACTGTCTTATCTGTAGATGTATCCAGTGTTCCAAATACACCTTAGTTTCATTTTGTTTTTCCAACCTCCTGACTTTGATATAAATTAGCAACATCCAAGAGAGCAGAATAATATCCTTTCCTCTCCAACCGATGACTCGCTGTCTACACAAATTCCAGGTAAAATGGGCAATTACATTTTAGACAAAGGGCCTATAAAGCCTTCTGAAAAAAACTTGTGAAAGTATTCCACAAAAGACTTTTAGAGGAGAAGCAGAAAACTATTCCAAACAATTGGCTGATATATACTCAAGAACTAAAGAAGTTAAGTTTTAAGGGTTTTTATAAAAGACTGTCACTATTCCTTCCATTGATGGCTGAATCACTAAGAGAAGAAAAAAGCTGTGACTATCTGACTATGCTGGGGTCTACTAATACAAATCTAACCAGCATCTGACATTACAGGAAAGATCTGGAGCAAGTTGAGAAAGAGGAGGGCATTGCTGAAGCGGAGGAACGAAAGGCCTGTGAACGAAGAACAAGAGAACTTCTGCACTCAGAGGCCTTTGTGGAACAGATGGACGGTGATCAGTTGAGTGAGGCTATGTTCAGTTGTGACCCGAGCGGCCGAGCTTTGCAACTAATGGATGAGGAGGCAGAAGAACTGTTTAGTAGGTAAAGAAAGTGCTTATTAATTTTTATAATATAGTCCTTACGGTAGTGGCAATTTTTAACACTTTTGACCTCTCCTCTCTGTATAAGTTGTGTGTGAAATGTGCTACTATGTCTTATTTGTGGTGTATAGGTTCTCACGTGTTTACAACCACCAGTCCTAAATTGAAACACAATGGTCAACTCGGTTCCCAAATAATATTCTCTCTGGATCTCCATGTGTGTGCATAACCAAATGTCTGGAATTTACATTATGTACTATAATTAGTTATTAACTATAATTAATATTTTTACTATAATTAATTATTTTTTTGTGTGACCTATCTATCTAATATTTGTCAGAAACAAATTAAGTTAGTTTGGTCCAGTCATGCGCCAATCGCCAAGCACGAAACATTTGACGTTCGGCTATCTAATTGTCTTGCTATTCGCTAATTACATTAGTAGACGTCAACATACATGTGTTGTTTTCCGAGCAACTGTTCGTTTCTGGAATAGCAAATATTCGTTCACTTTGATGTGTGCAAAAATACCGACAATGAACAGGAAAACACGAGCACGAATGTTTCCTGCTCGACAAATAGACAAACACCTTTCCACACTACTCGCAATTCAGAGAGTCGCTGCTTGGTGCTTGGCGATTGGTGCATGTCTGGAGCCTGCTTTAGAAAGAATAAGTGTTCAAACAAAAACGGCATAGTTTAATAAACTCAGAAAATCAAAACCTTTGTTTACATAATGTACAGTATATTTTAACTGAAATAGTATATTTGGTACCTAGGGCAGAAAATGAAGTTTTGCCGGCTAGATATAGTTTTTAAGTTCGAGACCAAGTCGAGAGAAAACGATCGAGAGCTGCAAAACCATTTTGGTCCGTATTACGAACACTATTTTTCCCACTTACCACTATTTACCACAATAATAATGCACACTAACATTCAACACAACTACAACTTAAAGGTTATGTGAAGAAATAATTTGATGAATCAGCAAAAATAATAATACTGTATGTAGATAGTTGCGGAGCAGCAGTTGAGGTGACAATAAAACAAGTTTATTAGCAGTGATACTGATTGTGTATATTTTATTTTAATATGCATTAATGGTTTAAGAAAATAAGCAAACAGCTGATTTTCAGCCCTAGGGATGTAAAAACCTGCTTAGTCCCCAAATGACGATGACAGCTGGCATGTTCCTTGGTTTTGGGCCTCCAATAAACGTTTGTAAAACGGCTAAAAACATCGTAGTGTGGTGAAAAGAGTTTTTACTGTTATTCAATGTTACATAACTATTATTGTTTTTTGTTCCTCAAAATACAGGGTGACACAAAGGAACCGGACGTTTTTTAAACAGCTGTTCCATTGTGCTTGCACGTGATAGGAAAGATTGAAGTTATGTCATTACCTTCAGTAAGGCTTGCCATTTTTGTTGAAGTGGCTCAGTGGACCATAGACCATCGCGTTTTCGCATACGACACTTTGGTCCGAAATGGTGAATCCGTCGTCAAATCCAGCGGGAATTTAGTCGACATTTTAATATTGAACGCCATGGAACGGTTCCAAGTTGAAATACGCTATTAAGATAGGTTTCAGGGTTCCGAACAACTGGGAATATAACAAGAAAGAAACCACCAGGCCTTGTCAGAACTTCGAGAACACCCGAAAACATTGCTAGAAAGAGAGCAGTATTGAATGTTTCCTAAGGTGATTTCTAGCTTTGGTGACATGCCGTGGCCGCCAAGATCACCCGGCTTGTCCACTAGTGATTATATCCTTTGGGGGTTTCTTAAGGAGCGTGTTCATGCTCACAAACTACTCTAGGGGATTTGAAGTTTGCAATCATAGAAGATATCAAATGGCATTGAACCTCCTGACCCGAGTTTCAGATGATTTTCAGACCAGAATGAACATTTGTAGATAAGTACATGGCCGCCATTTGCATGACGTCATTTTCAAATAATGACGGTTTTATAACAAATGGCAAATGTTTACCTCACTATGTACAGTATTAAATCCAGTTTATTCCTTATAACTACTGTGTACTACTTATTTAAAAAATGTCCGGTTCCTTTGTGTCACCCTGTACTTATTAAATTCAATTTTTATTACCGTAGCTTTCAAGAGCAAGTTAGGTCAGTTACAACTGAAATCTTCAATCTTGGGCAACAACAGTTGAAGCTACGCAATGAAGAAATCCAACAGTTCATGCAGTGTGTTCAACAAGCTAAAAGCCGCAGCCAGAAGAAAAGCCAACAGTGAGTTGATTTACAGTAATATCAGGGAGATCTGCTATAAGATCTGACTACTTTTGTAATGTTAATAGTGGATTATAACTCTACTTCTTACGTCAATAAAGGTCGGTTAGGTAATAATTTGGTCATTTCATATGCTCCTTGAATAATCTGACTTTTTCCACTACTGTTCCGAAGGTGACAAATTAATGGGGTTGTACTGTACTCTAGTTTATTGGCATTAATTTAAATTTAATTTGTCTAGTCCCATTCACAGTTAATATAAAACTCGCAGACTTTTTTACAGTAAGTATTGTATTTCCCTTCCAGTGCAAGGCCCCATGTGGCCGCACCTTTCACACTTTCCAAGGCTTGCCCTGCTTGCCAACATTAACTTAGTTTTTACCAAGTCGTACTATAAAGTCAAAACCAACCCCTTTACTTGCATCACTTTCAAGATAGTAATTTTATAACCATTTTTCTCTACGCAACCACCTTCCTGTTTAGTATTTCAAACTGTACTTAAAATCAATGGAATTGAATTTTCTTTTCACTTGAAATGACAATGGCTAGTGGATAATCAATAGAATAAGAGCTTTTATGTCTTTACCCAGCCAGGGTAGCTGGAGTGGTTAAAGCGCTCACCTAACAATCAAAACGTCGCCGGTCCGATCCTAAGAAAAGTCAGTACCTAGCTTTTGATGATTCGATACTGGACCTAACCGTCCCTGATCATTGGGCTTAAAATAAATGATCCTGATTGATGAAAAAGCTAATCTTAGTCAATGCTTCACAATGATGATCAAAGCTACACAGATCATCTCACGACATTCTACACCCATCCTTCACTCGTATTTGGGTAGAAATACGCACCTAGGTAGCATCCCCATCTCATAATGATGATAATGAGGTCCAAACAATTTTTGAACTACAAAACCTGGAAGGATTGATTCATACAATAAATTTCCAAAAAAAAATGATAGTTTTCTTGACTAGTACATCAGTTTAAAATATATGTTGCCTTTCATTGGCAGGATTGTAGAAGAATTCACAACCAGCAAAAACCAGATATTTGTCAGAGTTCAGGAGCTAATGGCAGCATCAAGAGAAAATGAAGCAGACAAAGAATCAATAGCAGTCACTATCGGGGCAAAAATAACTGAGTTTCATGATCTTTGTCAGAAAACATGGAAGAGTCTAATGGGCATAGAGCTGGTCTTGTTTGAGCAGTTTGAGGTATGTTTTTAAAGCGTGCAAGCAGTAAGTAGTGTAGCAAATTCTGAACAAGGTCTCGAGAAAATGTGTATCCTGGGCCCCCGATTTGACCTGGTCGGAAAAACAAATTAATAGGAGTAAGGTATACAAAATAATTTATAGACCCATAGTTACTAGTAAATTTAGGGATTACATCTTTAGATGATTATCAATTGGCTATAATTAATATGTTAAAAATTAAAATTCACTGGACCAAAAGTATTTAGTGCCATTGGACACCTGGGCCCTCCTCAATGCCTTGCATCTCGCCTGCAACTTGAAGTTTTCAAGGTAGCCACTGACCACAAAATTCAAAGTAGTTTACAATGAATGACACTTATTAACTTTTGCTAAGTAATTTTATCTTTCATTCAGTTTTTTTCTGTCAGAAGCAATAATAAAACTGAATAGTTAGTGATATTTGACAAGGCCACAACAAGGTCTGGAAATAACACAACTCTCTTTTCAACTTGGACCTTTCTCAGTTGAAAGTTCTGTCAGTGACAGGGAAATATTCTAAATGTTTGTGTACAGTACAAAGTAAAGTGTTGTGTTTCTTGTGCCATATTGGACTCATTCTATTTGAGTAAGCCTGCTGAAAAAAAATGAAAATATTTAATATCCGTAAAATGTTTCATTTCAGGAGCTGAATGTTGAGTTTGAGAAGAATCTTGAGGACATGGTTACTCAGTTTATTGAGGAAGCTCAAGTACATTTCACTCTGATACGAGAACACGAGAATATATTTAGTCAAGTTTTAAAAGATCTTGCAATGAGGTTCCTTACACATCTTACCTCTCGAAGAGATGACTTATCCATGTTACCATCAACGCTACAGGAGGTAATAAATCATATTTGTTAATTATTTTATTTTTTTATTTTTTACTCAACTTCACATTTTGTGTTTAGGGTTTTTACCATTCAGTCTCAATGAACTTGGATGGACTTTTATAGTCAAATTTTGTGGGTTTCTAAATCTTAAGAGAATTATTAGTCTTGTATCAATGCATAGTTTTCAATACTCGGATTACTGTTAACAGGACAGCTTCTTTCCAATTGCAATATTTACATTTAAGTGCTGTAGGAAGTGATTATTGCAAATAATGGAACTAAATTTCTGTGCTTTATTTGATTATATTTTATTATCTACATGACTTTTTTTAGCATTTCAACTCAGTAAGACAGGTAGGCCTTATCCCTAATGTAGGTTACGTTTTTTCTATACTTAATTTGTCCCAGACATTAGACGGATAAACCTGCATTATTATTTGTGTCTAAGGATGAGTAATGGAATCATACAAATGCTTAAAAAAGAAGCATCCAACTAGGTAGTGGATTAGTGAACATATACTACACCCTCCCAGTTCTGTAAGTGTAGGAGTCAGCTGTAGTTATGAGAGGTTCAGGTTGCATATGTTTGTCACTATCAATTGTTGCAGATAATGACAGACAAGGAGACTCTAGCTGCAGCCCTTGCTGTGTCACATGACCTTCATCTACAAGTGATAGACAACAGAGAGGATCAGCTGATCACTAGAGTGAGAGGATGGCACAGAGACCTGTGTGATGACCTACAGACGTGAGTCATAAGAACATGAGTTTTACGAGGATGGGTAAAAAGTTCACCTACCAACTAACCAAATGAGGTGGTCAAAACCGATTAACCTATTTTTTACAAGAGTATTTAACATTTTTTTTGTTATTTTAATAGTTGGCATCTAAAAATCTACGATTTTATACAAAAAGTCTATTCCCTAAAAAGTTAATACACAGTTGTTTTCTAAACTATTATCCATAATGTTGTCTGCTCCATTACATTCTGTTGAGCAAGCCAATCCAACCTACTCGGTTCCGAACCATGATGGGCAGTTCCCTTTTAGTTTCAGCTTAACACAATTCAAGAGTGTTTTACTATTCAAAAATTGAAAATTCAGATCCCACAGGTCATTAGGGCAGGTTGAGCAGAAATTTTTATGAGTTGAGTAGTTGGAGTTGATAAGTTTATTGGTAGAGTTTTGAAAAGTTCCATTGTTGACCTGAAATATGTTATTCTTGCTGAACAATAGACAGAGTATTGGGATGTTTATTTCAGCTGTCATATTTACGCTAGCCTACATTAAAAACAATGACCGAAGAAATATCATGCATGTACTTTGAATATTAATTAATATTGAATTGAAAATAGAATTATTGTAATTTGTTCAAGTGAGACGAACATAAGAAACCCTGAAGATGTAAACTAAACTTGAACTTCAAATTTTAGTCTCAAAATAACTATATCAACTGACATAGTGTAAGTCACAATCTGCGACTTACACTAAGTAAAGTCATAATCTAACTAAATAAGTCATGGAAGTTATCGTTAAAATCAAATAATTAAAAATTATAAAAGGGTATTTTGATTCACAGCAAAACCCTATGGTTTTGGTGGGTCTCCATCAAAAATCTGTTTGATTGAGACCCACCAAAACCATAGGGTCGAACCAGTGTTCAAATAGGTTTTTTCTTGTATGAACTATGTTTTATTTCAATTACTAAATTACAATAGGTTATTTTTAATTCAGTGTAACAGTTACTTGTTAATACAATTTTTAGACACCTAGGCTGAATTTATTCTCTGAAGGAGTCTTTTAAATTGTTGGTTTAAAATAAGCAGGTAAAAATGAAAATTAACACATTGTTAAATATTCAGCTTAAATTACACCTACTATTGGCTTTGTTTCCACTGAAACTCATACCTAAAACGGATTATTCTGAGTGTAAAGTGTAACATGTTTAATCATCACAACTGGATGTTAAAATACCTGCAAAACATACATTTATAACCGCTTCTTGTAACTAGTAACAGGAAGGGTATTTTCCAGGGAAGAGATTTCGCGCAATCGAGCGACTGTTTTGGAAATCAACCATTTCCTGGACATTCAGAAAGAAGAGTTTGACTTATTCAACCTAGACTTGGGGGATGATGATTTCCTACTTGGAGAGGAAAACATTGTCTCTTCCTCTACACCACGGTCTGGCTCATTGACCAACCGGATTTAGATAGTTGAATATGTTTTAAGAAATAAATAAATCTTTTATAAGTGGTAATGGTTTTATGGTTGATTTTACTGTTGAAAACCCATCAGAATAACTTTAGATCTGGTGACTGTTGACAAATATTCTCTCGTAGTTAATTGACTTTAATACTGTTAACGATGTTTAAAGACACGATCAATTTTACTCTTCAAAGCTATTCATTGGATAAGAATGTTTGTAAAGTTTTAAATCTAGCAAATATCAGCAATTTTTTGGTTTAAATCATCGTAATTTATATTTATGTTATAAATCAAAATTGGTTTTAAGTTTCATAATTAATTGGGTTTGACCTTTGTTGTTGGTGTTCATCTTTTTAAAACAAAACTCAACTTTTGTATCTAGCTGTAAAACAACACACATTATAATCTTGTTTAGCATGCTCTTTACTTATTTACTTAGTTGCTGAAGTTTGGTTTGTTTAAAATGTCTGTCTTCAACAGTTTCTCTATAATTTCACCTCCTCTATCGTTTTAAGTGGTTTGTTGGCCTCCTTTAACCTTGCATTTTCCCAACCCCATTGGCTTCAGACCTGTGTGTACAACATAATATGTTGTTAACTAGCAAACAAGAGGCAGCTGGTACAGTGTAAGAATGAACTGTACTGATAACTTTAGCAGCGTGACATCACTGCCATAGTCTCCTAGTCTATTTCTCTACCAATTGAGCCCCTGACTCACCATGATGACCTCATTATATTTAAAAAATTTAAAATTTGGCAAACATGCAGGTTTGCTAGCACAAAGATCTATACTAGTGTCCTACCTTGCCAGTGTACACATAGACGAGGAACTGTTTGAATGTCTCGCTCTGGAAGTGAGGCAGATAGAGCCGTACAGGTGACGGGTTGCCTGGAGCCGAAGGTGCAACAGAACATCCAGGAATACGACAAATTTCTCCTCTCTTGGCTGTCTGGAAACTTTTGCACCTGAAATACATTTACATTTTTGTAATAAAAATTGTTATTACCGGTATTCCTATCTATTTTGTGTCTCAACAGGTACTTTTGACAAAACTCAGTTCATGACTTATCGTATTTATGGAGGTTGCAGCTATATGGGTTTAAACCAACTATTATCAGAGCGATACAAAAATATTACAGATTTATCATCACATTGTACACCACCGGCAGATCAACATGTTTTCCAGGAAGATGACATTTATTTTGTAGCACAACCAACAGATCATTTCTTATTTGCCAGGAAGGTAGCAAAATAATTTTGGTACTTTGGATTACAGACAACCACTTTTATAATAATTTGATTCGTAAAAGAATGTTTGTTACCCTATATTACCCGTCACTATCTGGTTTACAGCGGTTGTACTATGTTTCTTGCTAGTTAACTTCTCAAAACTCCCTAAAACAGCAAACTAACTCTTGCTACTCAGCTACACAATCATTAAATATTTCATTTGCCCCCATGAACTTCTGAGTTGGACATTCTGTATGCACTTTGATACAGTGACCACTCAAACTCTTGTTGGCTTCAAAGGAAGTGCTTTACTGTATGATCTGCATTGTTTGTCCACCTTTTTTCGAGATAAGGCTGCAAGGGTCACAGCATCTCTTCCATTGGCCCTTGACACAAGTAGGATACTTCATTGTAAGATAGCTTGAAGTACATAACTTCGCAGTCTGTTTGAATTCTTCAAGTACTGTTGCACTTTTAAAGATGGCTAAGAACAGTGGTGTAGTCATGAAGTATGTAGGGAATTGGCTTTGGGGAATGTAAGGAAATAGTATATTTCGTACCTAGGGCTGAAAATTAGATTTTGCCGGCTCGAGAAAACGATCGAGAGCTGCAAAACCATTTTGATCTGAGGTATGAACACAATTTTTCACCACACTATACCCTATAACCACTATTCACCACAATAATAATGCACACTGATAGTCAACGCAACTCGTTATGTGCAGAAATAATTTGAGGAAATCAGCAAAAATAATAATAAATAGTAGCTAGGCAGCGGTGACGATAAAAAAAATTGATTGCAATGCTATGGATACTGATTGTGTATTTAATATGCATTTATGTTTAAGAAAGTAAGCCGGCAGCTGATTTTGTGGCCCTAGGAAACCAATCTCTTCAATTTTTTTCAAAAGAATTCTTTACAAAATTATTTGAAATGTGCTAGTTTCCGGATGGTGTGAACATTAACATTGACTATAACTATCGTAATGTGGTTCTCTTAAATGCAGTGTCAAAAAAAATGTGGTAGGTCTAATTTTGGTTGCTTGCTGACATTTGTTGTTTAATCACTAAATCACTAAAAAATGTTAGTGGTTTTAGTGTTAAGTATCAAAGAACATTTATCTTCAAATTTACTAGATTCCATAATGGGTTAAAGGACATAGATAGATTAGATTAATAGATCTGTCTACTCCTTTAATCTATTATTATATTTCATATTTCATTGTGTATCAACAAAACTTCCATGTTTGATGACTATATCCAAATAACTTTAACAATGGCCTTGTCTACTTAGCACAGAGATAGCCATGACTATGTTGGTCTGATCAATAAACTGACTAGAAATTAACCAGTCTGCAGGTTAGCAATGAAGCTTATTTCTTTATTTTATTATTATCCTGACACATTTTTACTTAAAACGAAAATGATCCTACTATATGGCCAGATGGCAATGGTTTGTAAAGTATTGTCAGGCAGATGGAAATTGGGGTAATCTACAGGTTTGCTGCAGGGGGGATTTGTTTTTAAATTTACTTGAACATAAATTAAAGGTTTACTATTATTGCTTTCATTCATTACAATAATCTCATTTATCAAAACAATCTATATATTTAATACACAGTTGTAACACTGTTTTCTCAGTAATTACTGGACCGATCCACAAGATCTATGTGTCAAATTAAAGGGGATAATGCATAGATTTGCCGAACTTCATTAGAATTCACGTTTTTTCTAAAGGTTAAGACCTACAGCCCTTCAAAGGTCGAGTCAATACAATTCTTATTGAAGAATATAATACACAGTTAATAAATTATTCGTCAGCTGTTTAATGTTTGTCAGACATTTGTTATTATTTTCATAACCTCACTTTCAGTACCTATGTCATAATTAATCTAGGAGTTCCTGTTTATAAACACACAATTTTGATCAAGGAAAAGTGTATGTGTTGACTTTTAATACCACAATGTATTATTTATAAATGTATTTGAACATTATTTTTATGTTTTGGTGTAAATTTTGTATTTTTGCAATGTTTTAGTTTTCCTGCAAAGTGATCTGAAGGAAAGTGGTATGGAATGTGAAATAATACCCATAGTAGGGGATGGAAACTTATTGTTTTGATCAATATAATTTATTCTCTATAGCCACCAGAACCATCATAGGGAAATCTGCTTGCAATTTGTACAGATATAATTGCTAATGAGTGGGAAACATACAAACATTTTATCTTAAGTGATTGATCTTACTCAAGATCAATGTTTGATGTTCAGCAGTACCTACCAAACTTTACCTTTTTGAGATGGGGAGTACGCTGCGATACGTGGAACTACAATTTATCAGTGAACTATAGCCTAAATATTTTTTTCGAGTACACAGGGAAGTTGCTTGAGAAACTGTGACACTTACGATTCGATTCTGGCGAAGAAGTATGTGACTTGATGTTAATGGCAATGTTGACTCAGGTCATTACAGCGTTATTATAAAACTGTATCATTAACCCCAGGGTGTGAAATGTACAAAAAGAAAAAGAAAAGGTAATCCTTAACCGGGCGTAAAGAGACATAGGCCTATAGAACGAAAAAAACACGTAGAGAACCATCGAACTAAAGAAGTAAAGAGCAGTGATGTTGTTTGTTATTTAATAAGTCCCTAAAAAAACACCATCTCTTTTGAATTGGGGTCGTTAAATTGGATTTGTCACAACCGTACTGCAAATCTATGAATTTTGAGTCAGAACAGACTAACAGGGACACAAATATATTTTCCTTATGTTGTCACAAGGGGAAGGTAAAATGAGCTCCTTATCAACATTTTGAGTTTATGGAAAATCTTATCAACGGGACTACAGCGACTTTAAATAAAGTATTAAGGGTCAAAAGAAACAACAAAAGAACTTTTTGAACAATATAATATCACACAACTCTGCATTTGAAATGGCGAGTTCTAAGTCTCACTTGCATCAACATCTTTCTGGTAGAGGTAGTCTTTATAATCTTAAGATCCGGGACTCCTTTTACCATCGGATTGGAACGTAAATACCCTCTAATATTGAACCAAAGTATGTCCAACTTTAAATATACGACGTAAACACAGATCTTTTACTCACAGAATGAATCAAAGATTCGTGAAATGCAACCAACTGCTGATGCGTGATTTACATGTAAGTGACTATCTTTATTCCGTACAACAAATGTAATGAACAAAAAAACAACGAATATAGGAATCTACATGAATAAATTATCTCCATAGTATAAGTTGCTGCTTATTAAGGCAGTGACTAATACTTCAAAGGAAGGAAGGCGAGAAGATTTTCTTACTGCTGATAGCCTTTTTCGAATTCAGCGTGAAAAATACTGTATTTTCTATAGTTTTGGCCGTTTATGAGGAACCAAACAAATTGTTAAAAACTCTACTATCTCATCATTTCAGTAAACTACATTATTTTATGATATCATTATTTTAATAGAAGTTAAATTGATGTCATGAAACAATTGACCGCAAATTAATATTTTTGGGATAGATTTACATTGACCAAAGAATACTCTCAAAGTATAGTGTAGTGATAAGGTTTCCCGAGCAAAGCTCGGTCCCCAGGTACTATAACATTTATTTGGTTAAACTAATATATCGGTTTGTTTAACATAAAATAGTTTATACAGGCCAACTACCAGTTCTGCTTCATGTAAAAAATTAAGCAGCCCTTAAATAAAATACAAAAATAAACAGTATTTGTTAATTATTATGTCTTTTATTGCTGACAATATTCCCGTGGCGGAGCACGGGCGGTTAACTAGTATTATTTAAATTCCTGGTCAAAAAGAATATACATGATATCACAATTAAAACATATACAGGGAAACTATAATTTTCTACCCTCCTAATATGACTGAAAGTAAGATGTGTATAAAGGAATGAAATTTCTTGTGTAGTTTGACCAAGTCAACTCTATTCCTTTAGTCAAGACAATTTTATATTTTTTTATAAAAGCCCAATGGCTCAAAAACAGATAGGCCCATTTTCGAACTATTGAAAAGGTACCGATAATATAGTATGCAATATGATTCAACTGTGTGTAGAGATTTTCTCAAAAATTAGATTTTTTTCAATGTGTTGATTAACATTGAAATCTTTCATTAGTTGTGGAATCCTTCCTCTTCATAGGATAATTATAAAAATTGATGTTTTTGTGTTAATTCAAGATCTTACTGTGGAGTGTGGAGATTGTGTACCAGAGAGTGGAAGGAGACCGAGAGGAGTTGACAAATCTGCTGTAAGCTTGAAGTAAATAAATTAAATTGTAAAGTATAAATGCTGATTCTGTAAAAAAATATGACCGAGTACAGAAGACATTTTGTGATAATGTTTTTAGTATTTCATCATAACCATTGACACAATCACAACAGTTAATCCACAGAATAGAATAGTTTGATGTATTGAGATAAATATTTTCAAATCAACGGAATGTTTCTCCCAGAGTGAGAGCAAACCAACACAATATTCAGCACGATGTCGTCCACCCTGCGCCGTCAGTCCCCTCAAATAAGGTTTAAGTTGGTGAATCGTCCACGTAATTGTGTTTGGTTTGATTCGGGGGAGGAGGACAGAGTACAAATTTGGTCCACTGTAACTAAATTACTCTTACATAATGTGCTTCCTGCTCAACTGAGGCCTACATGTATTGGTTACTTCTGTTCCCAGTGAATTGAATTACGAATGGAAATCGATCTGGTAAAAC